GGTGTTAGAAAGAGGACTCAAAGATATTTCATTTTACATCTTATGGGTCTCCTAAATCATCCTATTATAAAATTTATGGTTATTTGAAGTTGACCCAAAACTTAGAAGAACTTATGAATGACCTGACTAAACTTTCTTTAGTTCTTTTTGGAACTCAAGGTGCTATATCTAGTGACTTGACCGTAATACTTAAGAAAATTTTAAATTCCTCGGTAAAATCTTACTCACAACGAAGCATGGTTTGAGTCTTAGCTCAAAAAAATTCCGGGGTGTTACACTAGCAACCCAATACAAATGCAAGAAGAAAAAGCATAAGTAGGTCTCACAAAAATATGCATATCAAGGATCACCATAGCAGTAGTGGTGGTTATCACACAATGAATTGTAAGTGGAGATGATCATAGATTGATCGAAGAGAAATGGCTACATTAGTTTTTGAACTGCAATGGAAAATCAAGCATTTGGATTCATCACAAAATAAGGATAGGAGGTATGGAAAGACAAACAAGGAGAAAGGAAATACAAACAAAGACAAATTGTTGTGGTCAGGGATTAGTGGTGATGCAACAGTTGCCACTAGTACTGAATGAGAGAAAGAACGAGGAAGATAGTAGGGAGAAGGAAGGTCTGGAGAATGATCGCAACACCTCTAGGACTACTAAGTAGAGGCAACTCTATCAAAGGCATCCTCAACATATGGTGGAACAGCAAAGCTAAGAATACCACTCATAGATACCTCCCTAAAATCACCCTTATTATTGTGTGATGGAAATTATGGAAAACAAGGTGCAACAATAAATATAAGCATAAATATATCAATATCTATCGAATATGCTATCATGTTGTATTCCAAGTGAAAATCTCAATGGGGTAGAAATTTAACACTATAAACTGGAGTTGGTCATGGCTGAAGGTTTGTCAGGTAGCTGAATCCTACAAACCAAGATTCAAGAGCATTATAGTGAAATGAATCAAATCATAAGCTAACAAATGGAAATTCAACGCGGATGATAATTTTATTTCTCTATTAACAAAATAGGGATTGAAGAAGTTGTTAGGACTAGAAATGGATAAATGGTCATGGCCTTTGCATCACCAATTCATTTACACACTAACAACCACTTAGAAACTCATGCAACCATACATGGTACCCTATGGTGTTTTAATCAACATTGTCACAACTTTGCTTTTGAACTGGACTCCCTACTATTGTTAATATGATTCTTAGCCTTTATTAGATTTTGTAAAAGCTACACAAGATTATTCATAAAATTGAGAAGAAGGTGGAGCTCCACGGTATCATGGTACAACAATATTGCTATAAAGAAGGTAATACAATTAGATTCCCTTGCGAAGTATGCTAACAATGTCACCAACAATGAACTGTTCCTCCCGTAAGATGATCTCCCTCAAGAAACTAAAGGTGCACTCTGAATAGACAGACTTTAAATGCCTAATTTATGGATCAAACCTAAGAAGCATTCAAATTGAATTTTCGAACCCCCTTAAAATTGTGAAGGAAATGCTACTAGAGGCCCATCATTCAAGCTACAGAGTAGCCCTCCTCCCCTCCCAATGTGTACACACATCTTGTGTCAATAAGTTGTTTGTTAATTACCCCGGGGTCTAGGTCAATGTCCTCCTTGGATGTATTCATTTCTTAGTAATATGTAGGGTAGGAGTCTATGCCAAATTCTCTACCACCTAGGGAGCTCATATCATGGGTGATAGAGTTGAAAAATAATAATATAAAATAAAATTTCAATTATAAATGATTGAGGGATATCAAATTAAAATTTTCAATGCCAAATGGATATATATAAAAATCAACCTTTGCCTTGGTTTTCATAGTATATATATATATATATATATATATAAAAATCAACCTTTGCTTTGGTTTTCATAGTTCATACAAAATTATCAATGCTAATCAAAATTTAATTAAAAGCTTGACGGTTCAAAACCTTGATAATATATATGTATTATATTTGTTATTTATTGTCATCTAAAATATAAAATTATATTACTCAAATGTCTTTGACTAAGAAAATTGATTCCTTTGTGGCATCTTGAACACTCCTTTTTGGTAACAAAGTAGGAACCACTCAAAGTGCGCTCTTATACCCTAGTATATATATATA